GTCTTACGTCGTTAGGTGTTAGTAGTTAAAGTATTGTTCGTAGGTGTGCTCGTACTCTCTCTCTCTCTCTCTCTCTCTCTCTCTCGCTCGCTCTCTGGGCATGTGTCTATACAATGTGTGCACGTATAAACATATGGAATAGATTTACATTTCATTTTTTATTGGAAAGACCCAAAATGTACCCCAAGATTGCTGTGGGACCTATTGCTTGATGGGAGAAAGATAGTGCCTTCAAAAATACTATGTGCTTTAGTGTTTCTTTGTATTATTTTGTGGCTTTTCCTTTAGAATTTCCATTGCAAAGAACTAACTATTCGGTTCTATTCCCAGGCCATCTTCGGGGATGGTCGAAACAAGTGGGACTTTACTTATGTGGAGAATCTTGCCCATGCCCATATTTGTGCAGAGCAAGCTCTACAATCCCTGAAGGATCCAGTTTCTGGAGGGGTAAGTCTGTCTTAGCTTCTCATGATAATGTTTAGGAAAGTATACTATAATCCAATGTACCAATGAAACCATAGTACGGTCATCACTGTCCAATGAAATAGCGAATGGTGATTGAGAGGTAGCAGGACACATCATTTGGGGTCAGGTCCTATCCTGGTGTAATCCGATTCTCTCTCCATCACTATCTGTCATTTCCATTGTTTTCTAGTATGCTTTTCCTGTTCTTTAACCTTGTTCTCATTTCCTTGCCAACCATATCCATTCTTGATCTTGAATCTCTGCAGGTATTTTTTATCACTAATTTGGAACCGATGGTAATTTGGGATTTTGTTTCTTCTGTACTGGAAGCTATGCGATATGAAAGGTGCTTATCTTGGGAACCGTACAATATGTATCGAAGTAATTAAACTTCTACTCAGTTTTAGAAAATATTTTTCTAAAGAAGAAAGATGAGGCACGTAGTATGTTGAGTTTCTACACATATATGTCATCAAAATGTCATATTATTCTTTTATACGATCTGTGGAAAATGTAATGGTTGTACATATTATCTGGCCATTGGGAAAATAAGGCAAGTTTCAATGTGCTTGTAGCATATCAAACTGTTATGCAGATCACCATCTACTTCAAACGTCTCTCACCCATATAGAGAATATAACCATTTAATTGCTTGAAAATTGTACCAGTGTTCCCTCTTTCTTCCATTAGGATAGGTTGCTGATGTTAGTGTAACATCATCAAAACACATGGAGAAACTTTGGAGCTTTACTGTTACTCGATTAAAGAAATTTCTGCTCTTCTTTTAGTGATATTCAGTCCCACTCCTTGTTCATTAGAAGCTGAAACAAACACACACACTTAACACACAATGATAATTTTGTGTGTGAATGCACATTTCTCGCTGCATATATATATATATATTTATATATATATATATATATATATATATACATGATGCTATGTTAACAAGTGTTTCCTTGACCTTGTTGTGTATGTGTGTGTAGTGAGGGAGAGAGATCTCCCTACGTGATGTTTTCTTCTTAGTATGCTATGATTTTCAAGTGTTTTCTTGAACTTAATGGAAATCCTCTCATAATTTCAGCCCCAGCTTCCATATTCCTGTTGCACGATTCATGGTCTTCATAGAGGCAATGGAAAGGGTCTATAAAAATTTGTGTTCTTACATAAATCTTCCACCCTTACCACTAAGCACCTCAAGTCTCCACTTATTCACTTGTACCAAGACATTCAATTGCTCCATAGCTCAAAAACATATCGGCTATGCACCAATTGTCTCTATGGAGGTTAGTATATCTCTTTGATGTTAGTGACTGGAATGTTCTCTCCAGAAAATTTTTAAAATAGGAAAACGGTATTGTCCCCAAGCTCTATCATATGAATGCATGGGGGCCTTTGAATGTTTTTTCTTCAATAATAAATGTGCAGGAAGGTATTGAGTGGACTGTTGAATCATACTTCCATTTAGCGAGAGATATATCTTTCTTAAAAAACAGGGATTTAAACCAGCCATCAAAGGCATATAAACTGCTCGGCTGTGGAAGAGGTGCGCTCTATTTCTTAATGGACCTTAAAATGTGAAAGCAAAAACTGTCAAAGCTGTAGTTGTAAGTACTATCCTAAAAATAATGTTTTTGATAACTTATGATCTTCAATGATGCAGTTGCTGATGTAATTTTGTGGCGTGACGAAAAGAAGACTTTCTCTCTCTTAATCACCCTGGCTTTCTTTTTCCATTGGTTTCTTCTCTCCGGGCGGCCTTTTATTTCATCTGCTGCAAAGCTCTTTCAGCTGGTTTTTGTCTTCTTGTTCTTACATGCATGTCTCCCATCCTCAATGTATGTGCAATCTCTCCCTATCACAGTATTCACAGTATTTCTAAGTTTTATGAGACAGGTTTGATTAGATCTTTATTCAAGCGCCAAGATATCTTGTTTTACAGCTTTAGCTTATTCTTTTCTGGTTTGGAGTTTCTAGGGTGATATTTATAAGCAAAACATGCATACATACATATATACACTTGTGTGTGTATGTATGTATATGGGTATGTGGATATTTTTATGTATGGTTCTATTTACATATATAGGCATAGAGATAAATATCATACAATGTATGCACGCTTGCATGCTTGCTTGCAAGTATGCATGTTTGACATGTGACATGCTTGTGAGGACTATTGTGACAGATTGGGGTACTCCAAGCCAAAGATTCCAGCTTCTTATTTTGAAGTCCCTGAGACTCGCTTACGGGATGCATTGATTTTCACGGCATCAGCCTGGAACAGAAGTGTTGCTATGTTACATTATATCGCTCAAGGAAACGACTGGAAAAACTTCCTTAAGGTAAACGTATAAATAAATTAAGGGCGTGAAGCATGAGCCATGGTCTTATTTCTCATTATATCCTTGTCAACTTTTTTGTCATTTTTTAGATATATATCTAAATTGCCAACTCTCTCTCTCTCTCTCTCTGTTTTTTTTTCTTGTGGGTCTATGTGTGTGCGTGTATGGGTTGGTGGTGGATTGGGCATGTTATGACGAAGATTTCTACAGTTTATCTTGCTCATTCTTTTATCTTTTCATGAGAAAAAGATATCTGTAAATTCAATCCTTCTTTCAAATTCTGTTCTATTTTATCACTTTTTTCTGAAACCAGTACTGGCCGCCATGGTCCTTTGTGGAAAACCAGTACTATTTGAGAGGTCTCCCTTGTGTATTTACCTAATTTATTTTGGTAGTTGAATATGAAAATTGATCTTGGCATTAAGCAGGCATTGTGTTCCCTATATTTGCTCAAGTTGCTCCTGTATCTTCCCTTTGCAGCTGTGCTTCTAGTAGGTAATGGTGTGAACTCTTCAGAATTTCTTGTTAATTTATTGCATGGTCATCCTTTTACTTGATGAAACATTTTTTTTTGATTGAATATTGCAGGTTTAGTTTTGGTGTTTAGTGCTTTCCATGTGTATGAGCAAAAGGAAGAGGAGGTTGATAGAATCTTGAAACATATGACCACTGTTATGAGAAGGGTTATGAGATCAGTGATGAGGAAATTGCCTGCTCATTTGACGGTTTATCTTTCAAGCAATTTCTCTCAAGCCCAGGATGAGACTGCAAAAGATTCTTAATCTGTTTTCTGTGTTCGCTATGAGAAGTAGTTGCCCTTTGTGCATCTGATAATGCATCTTTTTACGATCCTACAAGAAGAGAATCAAACATGAACATGATCTAAGCAACTGCCATTTTTGGGGAGATAACCACCACGTTTACGGTCTAAGATTTCTTTTTTACCATGATAATGGTCGAGTCCTATTACTGATATAATGACATTGTAATGGGGATCGTAACAGGGATAATGCCCGCTACTGAAAATGAGACAGGAAACTGGAAATAATACCAAGAGTGAGAAAGGGCAATTGTCATTATAGTGATGTGAATAACTAATTTCTTTTTGACATGGATGGTCTCTATAAGCTTGGTCCTTACAGTGAAACTGCTTGATTAACTTTTTCTTGTTAACCAGCATGATTTCTATGAGCTTGGCTCTCATAGTGAAATGCTTTACAGTTCAAAGGATCTCTCTCTTTTCTCTTGCTTTTTGAGGAATGTCCATGCATCGTGATTATAAAACAATAATGCCTCAAAACCGAACAGAAAAAAATCTAATATATTTGGTTGTAGTTTATGTAAAATGATGACTTTATAAAAAAAAGAAAATTGTTTTATGTGGGCTGGACCACATTTCTACATGTGCGATTCAGAAAAGTGTAAAGCATCCATCTTTAAGTACGAGTTCCATCCAAAAACAATGGAAATTAATGGTCCAAATGTTTTCTAACTAGAAATATTATTTCTAGTTTTTTAAATTTATTTATTTTTTCATATTCAAGATCTGCATGTTAGAGATTACATGTCATTAAAAAATAAGTCATAAAATCCATTTCAAAAATAGATTTATTGAGAATCCCGCATTTCTACATATGTGGGCTTGGCCGCATAGAAACTGGGTCCTCATAAAAGGGGTACATATTATTCACTTAGCCTACTCAACGTTCATTGGCCATTAATTATCCTTATTATGTAATACAATTTTCTTTTTAGCAAGGTCATTTATGTTATTAAGAAAGATATAATAGATATTTTTATAAAAAATTTGTGGTATTTTATTAATAATTAAAAATAATTAATGTTTTATATGAATGTTGTCATACCCTGTATGGATGATGTTATTTTTTAATATAGTTAATAAATATTTTTTATAAATAAAAATTACCTTATTTATTAATAATTACCAATATCCTTAGACAAAAAAGTTACATGTGGAGCGAGGGTATCAAGTATCTAGAGATGTTGAAGTACATTAAAGAAGTAGTCCGGGTAGGAGTACCCTAATTTAACCTAAACATTATTAAAAAATGATGTTTTGGCACCAAAAACCCCTATGATAGCTTGCAAAACTATTTTCACTCTTATTTAAAGATCCCAAAATGATCAGATCGAGCGGACCTTTGAACACCTGAAAAATAGATAGACTAGCTTTTGTTATAAGATGCAATACTATTCGGGTTTAATTATTATTATTATTAGTACTTTTTCATATCCATATATGCTACGGTGATATCCATATATGCTACGGTGGATATGATTGTTTTGAGGGTCTTTTTGAACCAAAAAAAGAAGGGAAATTTTCATATAGAATTTTAATTCCTCGCATTATTTCTAGGTAGACTTTCATTCGTTTTTCTTTCAAGCGGCATAAAAAAACCTTTAAATATTTTACCATACTCCATCAAAACCTTTAAAGATTTCACTATACCCCATCATCTCTTATCTCACTTTTGATCATAAGAATTAGCTCCAACAAATTTTTTTATATCATTTCAACTCAAAAACTTTTTTAATGGGTAGAAAAGAAAAAAGAAGGTTAAAAGATTTTTAGGGATGAAATGATATAAAAAGATTTGTTGGGGTTACTTTTTATGGTCAAAAGTCAATAAAAGAAGGAGATAAGAATTTGATGAAATCTTTAAGAATTTTTTCATACCGCTTAAAAGAAAAATGGAAAGATAGTCTACAATGAAGAGAAAAGATGGTCTATTATGAAATAATATGAAGAATTAGAGTTCTATACGAAATTTTCTCAAAAATTAAATATGATTTTGGTAGTGCCACTTTACTTCTCTTTTCTTTTTTCACAAGGCCCTCAACATATGTAAAGTTTTTCTAGTCTACAAATTTTCTAGCAATGGTCCGATCTAAGTGCTTAATTACACAATGTACTTTTTATCTAGGTTTTCATTTTGCTACTTGAGAAGTACCCCAAGAAATAACTATAAATTGAATCCGAACTTTAAAAAACAAGAAGTTCCTCTGAAGAAGGTCATTCACCAGAAGGATCAAGTGTACAATTTGCTCCCTCAATTTCCCTCTCTTTAACCCCATAAGTTGTACTCCAGAGTCGGATTGGCCAGCACGTTCCAGAGTGCCTAAAAATTACCATGCTCACATATCAATCGTTAAAATATATTTTCACCAAATATGCCCTTCCATATATTTAAATGCCTATTATAGCCTGTTTGGACTACCCAACAATTGGAGTGGAGTTGTCAAGGAATAAATGAAAAATGCTTTGCAAATATACACTTCAAACTAAACGATGTTTGGATGGTCCAACAGTTTCAAATATACACTTGAAACTAAGGATGTTTGGATGGTCCAACAGCTCTAATACTAGTGAGTTTTTTTTTTTTCTTTTTTTTATTAGGGCAAGCATTTTATGACAACTTGGAATTATTTAGTAAGATTTATTTTTTTTTGGAAAAGTATACAAAGAAACCATTTACTTTTCATACAAGGAGGTCACAATTACTCTTGTCCATCAGATTTCCAATCGGATGGTTGTAAGAAAGAGTATCATTGACTAAACTCAAAGTTCAAAAAATATTTCTCGAACTTCATAAAACATTTTAAGCTATCCGATTTAACATATAATGACTAGAAGTAGTTGTGACCTCCTTGTAACAAAGATAAATAGTCTCATAGTATACAACCCCTTCTTATTCTTCTTTTCTTTATTAGGGCAAGCATTTTACAATGCTTTCTCCTAAGCAAGGGAAGAATTAATATCCTACCCAAAACAGCAGTGGGAACCAGGCTGTACTTTTTCAATCCTGAATAGGTAGAGAAAGAAACAAGGTGGTTTAGTAACAAGCCTAAGTGTTGTGTTTTGGTCAAAATCAAAATCATTTTTAGACAGCTTCAATAAACCATGCCTCTCATCTTCGGTAGCACCCCACACCTTGTTACCTTATATTTTCCATTTCCACCACTGACACCACCCCATTAATACCTTCAAAAAAGCTACCTCCTAATCTACTTGAAAAAATGGGTAGAAGCTTGATTTCCCCGTTGAATTACTTAAAAAAAAAAAACAACTCTCAGAGTGCACGATTTCGATTAGTTCATGTCAACTATCTGAACATGAAAGGTCGGTGTACTTTTATATTTATTCTTATCTACTCTTTTAGCCGAAACGCACTGATGATGATTTTTATCTACTCTTTTAATAAGGCCCCAGTTTTTGGTTTCAAAAACTCTCCCTCCCTCTCCCTTGAATTTTCCTTAGGGTTTTAGTTTCTCCCTAGCATTTTCTCTTTATTTCATATTTACTTGAACAAAAAGACAAGAAATGTGTACTGTGAAAAATGTTCTCTCAATGTACATATCATTGCCTCTTCATAAAAAGGCGTGCACCATTTTGATTTGTTCGAATCAAGAGAAGGGCCGACGCAATTTCATATATGTTCTCATCTTCTCTTAAATGATGTGTCAGGATTTAGAAGTGAAGACCAAAAAAGCCTAATCCCTCTCCCTCAAATTTGCCTCTACTCTCTCTTTATTTCACATTTACTTGAACAACTGGAGAAGAAATGTATAATATGATCCATTATTGTATCTAGATTTACATCTCCACTTTGGAAACAGAGAGCTGTTCACAACTACTCTTTTATAAATTCTCTAGAGAGGAAAGGCTCTTGCAGTTTCAAATTTGTTCTTAACTACTCTTTAATGAGAGGTCAAAATTTTGTAGTGAAATTCAAAAACTGTCTCCCCCTCTCTCAAAATTTTATAAGGGTCATGTTTTCTCTCCCGCATTTTCTCTTTATTTTGTATTTACTTGAACAAATTGACAAGAAATGCATACAATGATTCATATGATCATGAAAAATGTGTTGCCACCTAATGAACATTTCCCTTTATAAATAGAAAGGCGTGCACCATTTTTTATTTGCCTTGTTTTGATCATCACTCTAGAGAAGAAAGGTCAGTGCAGTTTCGTATGCATTCTTATATGCTCTGTAATAATGTGTCAAGATTTTTAAGTGAAGATAAAAACTCTTCCCCTTCTCCATCAAATTTGCCTTAGAGCTCTAGTTTCTCTCCTACATTCTCTTTGGTTTGTATTTAATCAAACAACTCAAGGAGAAATATATTTTATGATCCATATAATCACAGAAAATGTATTTTCTCCCCGATGTACATCTCTTCTCTTTTATTTTGAGAAACAGTAACAAATTTATTACCACCTTTAACAGATGTACATCTCCTCTCTTGAAATAGAAAGGTGTGCACTGTTTTAATTCGTTCTTATCGACTCTCCAGCGAGGAAAGAATGACGTGGTTTCGTGTATGTTCTTATATGCTCTTTAATGCGGTGTCGGGATATAGAAGTGAAGGTCAAGAACTCTTTTACCCTCCCTTTCAAATTTCCCAAGGGTTCTAGTTTCTCTTCTGCATTTTCTCATTACTTCAGTACTTGAACAAATTGACAAGAAATGTTTACTGCAATCTAGATGATCAGGGAAAATGCATTGCCTACTAATGCACATTTCTTCTCAATAATAGAAAGGCACCAATAGTTTTGATTCGTTCTTATCGACTCTCTGTCGTGGAAAGACTACTGTTGTTTCAGATTTTTCTTCAATGATGCATCAGGAAGTGAAGGTAAAAAAACTCTCTCCCACTCCCTTAAATTTGCTTTAGAGCTATAGTTTCTTTTTTTCATTTTCACTTTGCTCTTCATATTGTTTTCTGACAAAATATTTTGACTAGAATTTGACTAGAACAAATACAAGAAATGTATATTATGGTCCATGAGCACCAAAAATGTATTGGTTCCCAATGTTTATCTATCTAGACACCGGAAGGTGTTTGATCCGTTCGTGTCAACTCCCTTAAGAGGAAAGGTTGGTGCAGTTTCAATTTTTTCTTATCGACTGTTCAGTAAGTACGGGTGGCAATGGGTCGGGCCGGTGTCGGGTCTGGTCAAACCTGGACCAAAAAAGTTGATATGGGACCTGGATCTGGAGCCAGACCGGAATTCACCTAACCTGAACCCGACCAGAGTTGACCTAAAAATTAAAATATCTATGCATTTAATTATATTTGAATATATTTCACATATTGGGACTCGAAATAATTTAGGTGTGACATCAATAGGCGATAATATGATAAAGAGTAGACTTAGGTAGGCTGGCTATGTGTGGTGTCGACCAAGTACAACACCTGTTAGGAGGTGCAAGTTAATTCAAGTGAAAGGACTAAAAAGGGCAAAGGGTAGGCCTAAAAGGATGTAGTTGCAAGCAGTCCGAAAAGATGTAGAAACTTATGGCTTCACTGATGATATGGTTTTTAATAGAGCAGAATGACATACTAGAATTCGTATAACTGACCCCAATTCATTGGAAAAAAGTTATGATGATGATGATGATATAAGGACCAGGGCCCAAATAGTGTTTGGGTACAAGATTTGGACTTGGACCCGACCCGCCGAGTCCAATTTTTAGACCCATACCTAGATTTGGATCGGGTCTGCCCCTTAGGTCCCGTGTCGGGCCGCGATCCATTACCACCCTTATTAGTGAGGCTAGTATTTGGAAGTGAAATTCTAATACTCTCTCTTCCTCTCCCCTCAAATTTCCCTAGGATTCTAGTTTGTATTTTCTTTTTTCTTTTAATATAAAGGATTCTAGTTTCTCTCTTGTATTTTCCCTGCACTTCATATTTACTTGGACAAAGTAACAATAAACTTAGAACTGTGATTGAGATGATCACAAAATGGAATGTCAATAATAACCTATTGAAAAGCTTTCTACATTCTCCCTACAATATAGAAGTTCTATCCTCCCCTACCATCTAGCCGTCCATTTTTTATCAAGAGAGCCACTCGCCTTTTTATCTTAGATTCGACGTCTCAAAGTGTTTTATTTTTAGTTTTTTTAATACAAATTTTCTGAATATGAAATTTGGTAGGTGTCATCTTCTCATTAGGGAGCACCTATAAAAAAATATTAACAATAATTTTTTGATAAATAAAATAATAGCCAAAATACCTCTTGAAACTTTCAGGAGTATTTTGGTCATTTTATTTTATTGAAAATATTTTTTTTATATTTTTCGTTAGTGCGAGTTTAATAGAGGAATGGACATCCAAATTTTGGTGTTAAACAGTTTATAGAAAAAAATTAAAAATAAAATAGTGTAGAGACGTGACATTGTGATTGGGGCAATCTTAGCCCTCCATTGAACGGTTGGATAAGGGGGAAGATAGAACTTCTATGCTGTAGGGGGAACAAAGAAAGCTTTCCCTTATGATCCATATGAGTACAAAATTTATATTGTCAGATAATGCCTTTGTCCAATCAGTTCATGAACGGTGATGGGCAATAGAGCGGGACACACCACTTGGCTCATTTCATGTTCTCATGATCCCAATCTCCCTCCATGGATATCCACTAATTGGCGGTGATGGCTCATGTCATTATAGACTTTCTATAGCCATATGGATCATAATAGACTTTACATTAAAATAGATAATTACCAACACAAATAACAAAGAGATAGTATACAATAAGACTGTTTATCTTTGATACAAGGAGGTCGAGAAAAATTTCTTTGAAGTTTGAGCTCGGTTAATGAAATTAATGTGGTCATCTAATTTCACATATAATGGTAAGATTAATTGTGACCACCTTGTATCAAAGATAAATGGTTTCATTATATATTTTTTTCAATAAAAAATGATGTCTTATAGAAGGTGCCCACCTTAAACAATTTAAATAAGTTGCATGCCTTCAAACCCTGTCAAAAAGTGTAGTTTTGATTTCAAAAGGTTTCTATACTTCCCCTATGGCATAGAATATTGATGCTTCCCCTACCATCAGCCGTCTAATTTTGATCAAAAGAGCCACTCACCGTTTGATCTTAGATCCAACGTCTCAAAATAGTTTATTTTAAGTTTTTTTATACAAATTGTATAAATATGAAATTTGGCATGTGTCATCTTCTCATTGGGACGCACCTATAAAAATATTAAAATTAATTTTTTGATAAAATAAAATGAGCAAAATACTCTTGAAATTTCAAAGGTATTTTGGTCATTTTATTTTATTGAAAATATTGTTTTTATATTTTTCACTAGTGCGAGTTTAATAGAGGATTGGGCACACAAAAATTGGTGTTAAAATAGTTTGTAGAAAAAAGATTAAAAAGAAAAATAGTGTAGAAATGTGACATTGTGATTGGGGCAATCTAGCCCTCTATTTAGAATTGACGGTTGGATAAGGGGAAGTATGTGAGTTTTATGTTGTAGAGGAAGTATAGAAAGCTTGCTCAAATCTAAAAATATGATAAAAGGGGAAATTTATCCAAAAACAATGAGAGATATGCTATTCATCATTTTACACTATGCTATATCATGATCAATTTTTTTATAGGTATTTGGAATTAAATTAAATAATACAGGAATAATATAAAGATTAACTTTTATAGGGCCTAGGCTTTATGAAAACAAAATAAAGCGTCAACTCAAATCCTCCTCCGGAAAGTATTTTTGACATCAAAAATCTCTATGATGGATCTAAAATCAATTTCCAACACTAACAATAAAACGAATCTTAAAAAATGGTATATACCTTGTGGATTTGTGAACATTTATTTTTAGGGTAAAATGGACAGTCTAAATGATTTGTTGCGATAAACATTATTTTTAAAATTTAAAATCCTAATTTTTTTCAAAACCATAATGTTCAAGCTGAGATGATCGATTTAAAGATTTACTAACAATTGAATTGCAATTTTTAATGAGTTATGAGGTGAGGCTATTATTTATTTTGATAAGGCCGCAGCCCTATCAAACCATTTCCCTTTTGATAAATTTGCCAAAAAATTAAAGAACGGGAGAATGCAAAACATGATATAAAAGTAGGAAAAAGTTTATATAAGGTTGCAGCCTTAAAATGTAAAATTATAGATGTATCTCAAAAATCTATCGGAAAGGTTGTTTTAATGTTAAAAAACCCTTCAATTGATCATCTCGACATCAATACGTATAAATATGAAAAAAAACAAAAAAAGTTCTTCAGTCTCATAAACAGTGCATCTTGCAACACATTATCTATACTCTCCATTTTTAAGTTTTTCATATAGTTATAAAGCTACTTGATTTAAACCATTTTATGAGTTTAAAATTTTATAATTAGATGTGAAAATAGATTTTAAAATAATCTTAAGAGTTTTTTACAACAAAATTACTTGCTATGATAAAATTTGGAAGTGCGCTTTAATTGGATTGTTTATATAAAGGGTGCAGTTTCTATAAGGTTGCAACTTTAAACAATCAAATTAATACGCACCTCCAAATTTTATAATAACATGTATTTTTTGAGTTAAAAATAAATCTGTAAGATTGTCTAAAAATCTATTTTGATATCTAATTATAAATTTATAAACTCTAAAAATGGTTAAAATGAAGTAGATTTATACATATATGAAAATCTTGAAAATACATAGTCTAGATAATATGTTGCAAGATGCACTATTTGTGGGACTCGAAATTCTTTTTTTTTTTTTTTCATATTCATATATCTCGATGTCGAGATGATCAATTAGAGTGTTTTTCAACATTAAAACAACATTTTCCGATGGATTTTGGAGATACATATGTAATTCTACATTTGAAGGTTGCAACCTTATATAAACTTTTCCCTTATATAAACCACACCCATAAGCGGCCGTTTGGATACCTGGAAATATATTTTCTATGAAGTATATTGTTGGCGTAATCATAATACATTACCTGTAAATGAATTGTCACTATTTAGGTAGTATTTAGATGCAACTTGGAAAATACATTTCTAGTGTTTCTCTCTATTTAAAAGAAATATGGACATTGCATTAACAACCAAATATGAAAAAAATGGCTATGTTTGGCTAACATGATTAGAATTTGCTTTCAACATGATAAGTCATTGGAATAATATGATTGGAATAACATGATTTTTTTGTGATAAACCTTATTTTTATTTATTTATTATTGAAGTCTTTCAAATGTCTCTCTATATATAATTTCAAATAAGCAATAAATTTATGATATCAAAATCAAAATCTTTATGGTATAAGTTAAAAACTGGAAGCAAGTTTGGTTTGTAAACTAAAAGGTTTGGTAATTGCAGTAGAAAAATTTGAAGCATTGGAGGAGACTAAAGATGTATCTTATTTCAATTGAGTTTTTACTAATTTCTTATGAGGATTATGTTGTGTGAATTTTTTTTATAATGAATGTGTTCTGTAATTTCTCATCAATTATCAATTATTATTTTTATTTTATATAAGTTGATAGTTTCAAATAAGGGCTACAACCAATTTGGGATAGAGAGCTCAATCCAAATTAGGGATAGAGGAATGTAAATTTTTTTTATTATGAATACAGTAGAAAATTGTACCTCACTTCTATATCTGTTAAAATCAATTTAGATTTCTCCTACTTTCACTTACCCATTATTAAAAAAATTTGTTTTTATATGAGAGTAAGATAATGGCTGTAATTCAAATTGGGGATAAAGGGTTAGAGTAAGATGAAAGCTACAATCCAAATTGGGGATAGATATGGATGTAGAAATTTATTTATTATGATTGCAATAGAAAATTGTTCTTCATGTACCAGTTGAAATATCAATGTAGAGTACCCCTTGCTTTCACTTCTTACTTACCTTAATAATTATATAATATATCATAGACTAAAGAAATTTTTTTTTTAAATGGGATATGGCATAGAGAGGGAAAGATTTCCAAAAATTACGGTGAAGGATTTTTTACCCCACACAGTATAATAGATTTCATATTTTTTTTTGGTGAAATTTGAAATAATATATTTTTATTTTTTTGTTATTAAAATGTACCTAAACGATAAAAATGTCATATTTCTTTATAACCTAGGGTCCGATAATATATTTTCAATTCTACAAATAGCTCCTTTCGCATTTAAAAAAGAGGTTGCCGAATAAAGTTAAAAGGGTAAATTGGTAATTTTGAAAATTGCGGGGTTTTCATGGTGATTTTTATTTCCTCTACAACCGCAAATTTAGTCGTCGTTGTGCGGTCTAAAAATTCATCTCTTTCATTCGAAACCCTATTCCTGTGCTCCCCTTTGTGGAACCCTAATTTGTTTCCTCTTTCAAACCCTAATCTTACTCTTCTTTATGCAAAGTCCTGGTTGATCTTGCTCTTGATTGCGTCCCTCAGGAAAATCATTTGAAATTTGTCTCTGGTTTCGTGCCATCTGAAAACCCTAACTGGCTTTCTCTGGTTCCTGTGTTTTTATCGAAAGCCCAGCTCTTCTGGCCATCTCTGCAAATTTCCGATAGACATTGGTTTTCACGGTTTGTTCTTGTGGAAAACCGTAATTCATTGGCTTAGCATGGTACCCCTGTAACTTTGGCCTTGTTATATAATCCTCTTAGAAACCAGAGCTTTTTTGCCTTTATTTCTTTTAGCTTAGCGTCTGAAACCCCCGTTCTATCTTATGGCACCTCCTGTTAAAACGTCTGGACCTTCGGACTCAAACTCTAGGCCCGGAATAAAAGAAGATGAGTACGAAGGACCTTCTCATAATCTATGGGTTGGAAACCTTTCTTTAGAGACGACAGAGTTAGATCTTATGGATTTGTTCGGAAAATATGGGGCTTTGGATAGTGTGGCTACATACAATTTTCGAAACTATGCCTTTGTGTATTTTAAGCATCTTGAAGATGCAAAAGCAGCAAAGGAAGCGCTTCAGGGAACTGTAGTCAAAGGGAGTGCATTGAGGATCGAGTTTGCAAGACCGGTTTGTCCCCCCTTAGAGTTTTTGCATTCAGAATCGTGTATTTTATCTCAGAATTTAATTTTTTTTGTGTATTCTTCATTTCTGTTCCTTACATTCATTGGTTGTAATAATTGTGGATGTTTTCCTTGTTGGATGCCCAGAAGTCTATTAGATTTAAAAAGTGATATCCAACTTTTTTTTTTTTTTTAATCCTAAAAATTAGTGTTCTACGAAATGCATTTTGGGTGTTCTCTTTGTTTTGTTTATTTATTGGGCATTCACAATTTGTATAAAATTTAGATATAGTTACTTTTGATTCCTTGGGCTGCAGTTTTAATTACTGTTTTGAACTTGAGGATTGTATTTGGTAGCTTGCCTACAAGGCTTCTTTATAGGATATGAGTTTGGGGCATTCACGTATAGGATGAATTAAAGGTGCATATTTTATCAATCCCAATCACTATATGTTAAATTTCTATACTACCAAGTGTGTAAATATTTATGGAATTCATGGTTATGCGTACTTTATTAGATGGCATCGAAGCTGGAATGGTGTGACTGTTTGATGATGGTAGTGTTTCTAGGGCTTTCGCTTCTAGTCATGTATGCTAAGAGCCCGTTTGGATGCCTTGTTAGTCACATATAACCCATGTTCACCTTTATGGGTGATCCTGAGGAACTATAGTCATAAGAGGTCATTTCATAGAGTAGAACTCTCCTTTTTTGGAAATAGAGAAATGGTTTTTTGGTCCTTGTAGACTTGCCAGAGTTTCTGCCTTTTGGGGACAATCTGGGTTACAATAACTAGTCATCAATGTGAATAGTTGCAGATTAACCTGGGATGTCTATGTCGTGTAAATGGGTGTATGAAAAAATGCCATTGTGAAAATTTGGTGTGCCCCAAATGGGTCCTAAGGCTACTTTAAATCGGTACTTGTCTAATAAGAATACTTTGTTTAAATATTCAATTAATTGCCTACTAGGATCATTAGGCTCTTTAATAGTAGTCGGTATCCATGTTGAATTATCCCCAGAGCACAGAGATGCTAAAGGAGATCCAAAGAACCAATGGGACCCTCTGGCCTAACAAGGGAGCAACCGTTTTTCTATGAATTAACAAAGCAAATGATTTAAAATGGCATGAAATGGCACTGCATGTTCATTTCAAGTTTCAACAGGTATCATAAGAGATTTGTTAAAAGGAAAGTAAATGGGTTAGAGAGAAGTTATATGATTTTGCATTCTGGTTCCGGTCCCGTTTACGAGTTTCAACTTCCAATCAAGAAATAAGAATGCATTTCACTTACATATATAAATGCATTATTGTCTGGTCTTACCTTTGCTCTTGTTATCAGAATGTTTTAAAAGGAAGGCTTATGTGATTGTATGTTGTGTCCATTTCCATATGCGTCATGCTCAAATACTTGTTGACACTGTAATTTTTAGAACTAGGTGTATGATAATATATTCCTCGATAACTTTGATTTGTCTCAGAGAGAGTTTACATGAGTGTGCATTCCAGTTATGCGAGTTTTGACTTTCAATCAAGAGAAAAAAATGCATTCCACTTGCGTATGTAAATGCCTGCTTCTGGAGCGAATTACTTGCAACTATCTCTCCTAGGCAATTCTTGCAATTGTTGATTGATTAGGAGAAAGAAACATGGAAACCAGGAAGATGACAAAGTTAATCTCGCATGCAGAAAATAATTTCCCCACCATCTCAAAGTTATCGAAGAACATATTATCATACACCTACTCGTGCAAATTAGTGTCGATCAATTTTTGAGATTCATGCAAGTGAAACAGAAAAGAGAAAATATTACCAAAGAATGAGAATCAAGAGTCGAGGTCACCATGAGCTGCTATTGCCTTGGCCTATTGCATATGTATCAAAACTAACCTTGGAGCTTAAAAGAACTATGTATGAAATAATTCGCTAATTCCTAGTAAAAGGATCATTGATTTTATGAAAGCAAAAAATTGATACCTATCATGTGCATTCCAATCTCGCAATGTAGCATTTCGTCACAATAGCTAAGTGTATTGTTTGAAAATTTGAACTGTCTTAGACATTGCCAAAACTGATTCGATCTGCTGTATTGAACAGTCAAATTCAGGAAAACACAAGATTTTTTTTAATTTTGGCCAAAAGACACATTCTAGGACTGTTTGGGAACGTGTGTAAGACGGTATTTAGAAGCATATGTGATGCCATCAAGGTGAACCTATGTGCACTGATCCTTGCCAACTGTTTGGTGGAGCATGCATGTTTGTCACATAATAAATGACATATCATGCGGAAAAATGGGACTTACTGCCTGCCACAAACTGTAAAATAACAGACATCCATTTTTCTACCGTACATGTTTAAGCCCAGCTATTCGAACTAAAGGTTAGGTCTTTTGAGTTGGCAGCAATATTCGAACTTGGGACAACAATTATATGGGAAATGCATATACCATAAAAGCGAGATTTTGTTTTGGTACTAATTATAGTATATTAAAATCGCAAACTGAGAAACTCTACCCAAACCCAAGTTTCTTGTTGAGTCGGGTGAGCTAACTTGAAATGAGTTTTTATTCACAGATGGAACGTATAGCATATGCATGATGTGCGCTATGCAACACAACTTGATTGTCCTACTTCTGTTCTCAAGATGCGGAAGGGCATTGGAGATGAATCTTACAGAATTATCATCATATGCTATACCATATCCCTTTGATAAAATGTCGTTGCAATATTTCATTCTTGTGCCTTTCTGGCATCTTGTTCTTAAGCAAAATGTGTTTGTGTGGCATTTTGTTCTGAGACATTTTTATCATAAGCAATGCGTATGTGTGTGCTGCTATAATGTGTGTATCACTGCAGTAATGCTGGGTTTTTTTTCCTTATAAATCCAGGATGCAGTTTGAAATTTCTACAAGCTACTGAAAGGCAAAGAATTATAGGAAAGTGATTCTTAATTTGTGTTATATGACTAACAGATCTAATAATTGACTATGAAAGCCTCAATTAAGGTGGAGTAATTTTGTGGAAGTTAACATTTATTTATGCTGTATCCTGTATGTGTGCCTAAGTGAGTTCTTGGACTTATGTATGTACATGCTTATATGGTATGTACATGCTTATATGCATACGTTCCCACAGGCATTTTACATCTTTATGTAGATGCCCAAGCACATAGTTGCAGGCTTTACTTAGCCTTTTTCCCTGCAGCTATGTGGAATTTATTTTTTCTTTCGTGTGGAAGCAATGTACATACCTATTAGTGGGAAACTATCAGTTCTTCCAGACAATACTGACTAAAGCAAGGTGCTTGTGAATATCCGTTGAGGTAGTATTATACTATTATTTGTTCATTGATGTCTTAGTGTTAATCTGACCCCAAAGAATTGGGATAACGCTGGGATGATGATGATGTCTCCATTGTTAGATGCAATGGTGGGTTGGGTTTCTGACTTTCTAGTATGCATCTCTTTATGGATTAATGGAAGGAAACTGCATTTTGCATTTGAGAACAAGTAGAAATATGGAGTTCTTGGGTTCTTTAGAACGCTTTCAGTTTATGAAATTTAGGTAGTAAAAGAAATTTGAGGAACCCATTTTAACAAGGTGAAAGCTGATATCTAACAACCTTATACTGGGATTGAAAAGGTACTTAATGTTCCCTATACACGTCGGCCACATATGAGAAACTGCATGTCGATTCATTGCGGTCGTAGCTTGTGCTATGAGGTGTCACACTTGGTGCTTTGGTCTTTGTTATTCACCAAAAACTCAACGGGGGTTCAGGCAAGATCAATTTCCATGTGCTTGGTTTGCAGAATTGAGGTTCCCATGTTGGTTTCAAAGTTGCAAAAAATAGAGTGAATTAGGACTGATATTTAAAAGAAAAAACATCAGGTCTAGTTGCGTACTTTGTTTTCTAGAATGCCACCTACATATTCATGCTCTAATTATAATCTAAATGTGTCACGCTTACCTATTTTATTTCAATGCATATAGGAAACCTTGATGAAACAATATTAGTGTGTGTGGCGCCAAACTCTTTTTAAGTTATGTTCTCCTGGATTTGAATGATGCTATATCAATAAAAGAAGATTCAAATGTCTTTTGAGGATGTGTGGCCAAGCATAGCTGTCGGGTTCGGTTGCGATCCCGGGAATGGGAAGTGGTTCGAGTCCTCTGAACCATGGATTGTTGGAAGGTCCTTGTGGTTAGGATTGTCTTATATACGATCCTATATCAAGGGAGTTCAATCCTTGTCATAGGGAATCTCGATTCCATGAAATAGGAATCGCAACAGTGAAGTCGTAAGGGATGGCGAATGATGTTTAGGTTCACATTACCATTGGGCACAAACTTTAATTAGTGTATATGAATCAGTGCCGAATAGGGAAAATGTCATTTGCCTTGCATCTTACACTTGAGTACCACAGTTCAAACGCGCCAGAAATGAGAATCACAATATAGGAATCCGCGTTCCATCCAAGATCCGTGGCTGGATTCGTGGGATCGAGGTTTCAGACTGGGTTCATGACCTCACCTTCAAGGTTCCAGCAACTATGTCGCCTTGTCTAAAATAATAAATGTCGCATGAAAAATCTGCTGAAAACTAGTGCCAATAATAATTAGCAAGACTCGACTGGAAGGGCCGGTCTGGTCAGTCAGACCACCATTGGAACCTCAGCCCGTGGTCCAAATTAAGAATTGTGTTTTGTTGAAAACCAGTTAAAACCAATGTCTTACTAGTTAAGTCCAGTTTAACAAGCTTGTTTAGACCCATTAGACCAACCAAACAATGTTGGGCAACCTTTGTTTTTTACATATTTTATAAGTTAAATTATTATTCCTAATTTTTCATTTCATTTCTTTTCTTTTTTTAATTCATTCTAACCTGTTCGACCGGCAGTAAGACCAGTTTTCACTAGGCCCTAAGCGGTTCGGTGGCCTGTCCGTTGCTTATAACACTGGCACCAATCAACAGTTAACTGCTTCAAAAAAAAAATCACTGGCACCAATCAATGTAGACTGCTTTGTTTATTGGGGGAGGGGGAAAAAAGTCAATGTAAGATGAGATGTTTATGAAATAAAATGAAAGACACTCTAAACATTTGTGCTGAAGCTAATGCTCCTTGGTATGATTGAAAAAAAAGAATTTAAAAATCAGGAAGAAAATTGGAACAAAGAATTTTTCTATGTGCTTCCATGAATTTTTTTCACTGGGTTGTAGGGGAAGAGAAGTACTTATTAATGGATATATGTGATTGTTACAAAGAAGGGCTCCTTACATTCCTCGAGGGTCTTATTAAGGTATTTACAGAATTGAAATGATCTTACGGTATCACATCACTATTTAATATAAATGGTTTGACTATGGTGCCTGAATAAATGTCTTGTGGGATGTCCTAATTCATTCATGTCTATGAAATTTTAATTTTCTATCCGGCTGAGGATTTTGCCTGCATTGTATTTCGGTATCTGTTTGGTCTAGGCTACTCATCATTTTTAAAGTTCTGTTTGTATGTATCATTATTCTCAAAAAGAAAGAAGTTTATGGTTGGGAAATAATTGTCTATTGTTTTTCACATCAGCCGTTCTAAACCAAAGGTGGTTGGCAGCATCTGTTTCTAGGTTAGAATAGTTGGTTTTGGCAGAAGGTGAAAATATGTGCTTATCCTCCTGTTCTTCTGTCTCTCTGTGACGCACGCACATTCTTGGCATTTAGCATATCAGGTATTATGGTTTGAATGAGTTAGGCTCTGTCTCAGTTCAGACAGCTTCTTGTGATCATGGAATTCCATTCTCTTGTCCATTCCTTGTTGCAACAGTATATTTCATCTACCAAATCCTTTAAAGAGAAGCTTTTGTGATGATTTAATATGTTGTTTTAAATGCAATATTAGAAGGGTTAGAATATGAAAAGTAATGCTTTATCTTGGCAGACACGTCCTGCAAATTTTCCATGTTGAATGATTCTAAGTAGGCTTAAGGATTTTTAAAATATGAGTGTTCTTGTCTCTTCCCAATTTGCAGGCTAAACCTGGGAAGCATCTTTGGGTGGGTGGGGTGAGTCCATCTGTAACAAAGGAGCTACTTGAACAAGAGTTTTTGAAGTTTGGAAAGGTGGAGGAATTCAAATTCCTCCGGGACAGGAATTCTGCACTTGTTGATTATGTTAAATTGGAAGATGCGGTTTCAGCTTTAAAAGCAATGAATGGCAAGCTTCTCGGTGGTGAACAGCTACGCGTAGATTACCTCAGGTCACAGCCTCCAAAAAGAGTATGTATAGAATATGTGTTGTTATCTGCTGAATTTTCATTTTGCTGGCATAAGGTCTGGTCCATCTTATGTCTTATTTTTATTATTCGTGTTGGATTCTGATATGTAAGCATGCTGACAGGAAAATTGGAATGATTTTAATGATGCAAGAGACAGAAAATTTTCAGGTTCATCAGATGCATCTTGGATGCCAAACTCCAAAACTCAGGTTGCTCTTGATTGCCAAATATATTCAACTTTTTATTATAAAATGGCAGCATTTAGAATATTTTGTTATGTTATTTGGCTTCTTATGATGTCTTTTTGGTGTGCCTAAATGGCCTTCATATGAGTGAATCTATTAGTTTCACTTTTGGTTAATCAACATTCCTTAACATTTCTTGTTCTTTCCTGTTTTCCATGAATATCTAATGTTGTGCTTATGTTTGCTTAAGCCTTCTCAACCGTTTGGAGGGGGGCGAAGAGAAGGCCAACCAAGCAATATCTTGTGGATTGGATACCCACCATCTGTCCAAATTGATGAGCAAATGCTTCATAATGCCATGATCCTCTTTGGTGAAATTGAAAGAATAAAGAGCTTCCCATCGAGACATTACTCATTTGTCGAATTCAGGAGTGTTGATGAGGCTCGGCGGGCAAAGGAAGGTTTACAAGGTCGCCTTTTTAATGATCCTAGGATACAAATACTGTTTTCAAGCAGTGTAGCACCTGGGAAGGAGGGCTCAAGTTTCTCCCCTGGTATTAAAGGTCCTAGACCTGATCTCTTCTTTAATGATGCTCCATTTAGGCCAATGGATGTATTTGGTAATCGCCCAATGGGGCCCAACAATTTTCCTGGTCCTCTAGGTCCAAATGGAATGCCTGGACCAAATATGCTAATGAGACCTTTCCCACCACAAGGCTTTGAGGCACCATTTAATGGCCCAGATGTTTTTAACGATATGGGGGGTCCTTTCCCTAATTTCCCTAATGCAAATATGATACCTGGAAATTGGAGACAGCTATCCCCTGGTTCAGGACCTGGCATGAGACCTACAATGAGGCCCCTTCCTGGTTCTTGGGATGGTGGGTTTGATCAAAGTAATTTTCATAGGGATGCAAAGAGGTCTAGGATTGAAGGTTCTAACGCAGTTGAAGGATCTCCTTTTCATGGAAAGAAAGCAGATAGTCAGGGCAATGGCCTTGGGATGCAAACTGACAAAGGCGTGTTAGGGACCCCAGCTCGTGTTGCTCCTGGTCCATCTGGCAAGGATTTTATCTGGCGTGGAATCATTGCTAAGGGGGGAAGTCCTGTCTGTAGTGCTCGATGCGTACCTGTAGGAAAAGGGATAGACGCTCAGCTGTGAGTTCAAATGATTCATGAACCACATGGTCTTTTTCTGACTTGTAAATTTTTGGAAAGTTATGCCGTAATCCAGTGGAATATGGTATAGAGTGCTCTGTGGTGGCATCTTCCTGATAATAGACAGTGGATATCAACTCTGCATTGGTGTTTGCCTCGATGGGACACACTACGGTTGATCTTCGCTGTCTAGGGAAATGGATGGTGGATGCCCCTTAGGAGGACTAGAAGTCATGCTCCATTTGAATAAGACATCCCTGTATCTTTTCTTGGAAATTTAACATAATGCATTGGGTCATGCAATTAAGAGATTGGCTGTGGTGGATAGAGAGTAGAACATCTCTCTCTTCTCTCTCTCTCTCTCTCTCTGCCCCTCCCCCCAGCAACCCCCCCCCCCCCCAAAAAAAAAAAAAAAAGCCCACCTTCGACCATCTTGGACTAGAGCTTTCCTGTGTATACTTCTCATCATTTTCCTTACTTTCTCATGATTTTCCTCCTTTTGGTTGATTGATATGCCTATTGTGCTCTTCTTTTTGCAGTCCGGAGATTGTGAATTGCTCAGCAAGAACAGGATTAGACATGCTCACTAAGCATTATACCGAGGCCAATGGGTTTGACATTGTCTTCTTTTTGCCGGATAATGAAAATGATTTCGCTTCCTACACTGAGTTTCTGCGATACCTGGGTGTCAAGAGTCGTGCTGGGGTTGCCAAGTTTGATGATGGCACAACCCTATTTTTGGTGCCACCATCTGATTTCTTGACCAATGTTTTGAAGGTAAGGGGTCCTGAGCGCCTCTATGGAGTAGTTCTTAAATTCCCACAACCAATCTCTGGGGCACCACCTATTCAACAACCACCCCAACAACTTATTCCTCAAATCCCACCCCCACCCCCATCCCAATCCCAACAGTTTGTAGATGGTACCCAGCAATATCCTTCTTTGCTAGGGGATTATAACAGGGTTTCTCACAAAGAGGATCAATCTCTCCAAATGGATTATAACAGGGTTTTGAATGAGGATCCTAATACCCTTGCTGGTGGGATTAAACAACTGGGAACACATGCTGAAGAGCCTCATTTGGGGCAATCTGCCCAAGATTATGTTAATAATCTGGCAAATTCTCAAGTAGGAGTTTCTTTGACACCTGAGGTCATCGCTGCCTTGGCGGCCATTCTCCCTGCCAACCTTCAATCTGCAAATAGTCAATTAGGTCCTGCTTCAGCCCTAGTGGCATCTGCATTTGGTGCAAATATGGCTTCTGACCAGTCAGTGCAATCACAAGTTTGGAGGCCCGACCAACAACAGTCAATGGTTTCGAGTGGCCTTCATCAATCAAGGGAAGATCAAGCGAGTTTTCAAAACCAACAACTTGGGCAACAATTCAATAGTCAAGCTTCCCTATTGTCTCAATATCCAGGTTATCCAAATATCCCAAGTGGGATGGAACACATGGTTATGGGTGTTCAGGACACCTCTATGAATTTCCAACAGGCTACCATGTCTACTCGCCCGGTGCCTAACAATTTAGTTCCTTCTCAAGGTGGACAATACCCAGCTCCCCAGGTTAATCAAAGTTATCAGCTTGATCCTTCTCAAAGTTCTCGATCACAGGTCCCTCAGCAAATGAAGCCTTCATTTTCACCTGGTCATGTTCAAGGTGGAAATATGGCTCAACCACAGGCCAACATGCAACAGATGGGAACTGTTAATACTGAGATGCCAAATCCTGTACAACAACTGCAATCTGCCCTTTCGATGCCGGAGAGTGAGGCTGACAAGAACCAGCGTTATCAGTCAACACTGCAATTTGCTGCTAACCTCCTAATGCAAATACAGCAACAGCAACAGCAGCAGCAAGGAAACACCCAAGTGATGGATGGCTCTCAAAATATGCAATAGGAGCTTTGGAAGCACTTCTCTGAGGTAAGCATCCACATTACATATTTTAGTAATATTTCATTGAGTTTTAAAAAGTATTGTTAAAGGCTTATTTATGTGATCCTAGCATATATCTTTAAGATGATATAATAATTGTTAATGTGCCATATGAGATTACTTAATTATGGTACTCAAAACAGAAGAATTGCTTGATTATTATTTTAGGAATGTTTATTAAGTCTGAAGTCTAGGTTATATGCTAAGTACTTATATAGTCTGTGAGTCTTTTGTTTTCAAAAATTATTAAATGACGATCACAACGGGAATGCACAACTGTAGAAGGAGCTGTTGGCATAAATGAGAGCGGAGGTCATAGATACATTCGTAGGATTAGAATATTAGAAGTGCAAGAAGCTTTGAAGAGGATGAAGATAGGAAAGGTTTAGGACCAGATGATATCCCAATAGAGGTTTAGAAGTGCATGGGGAAGATTGGCATTTTCTGGCGGACCAAGCTGTTCAACAAGGTGTTGAGAACAAAAAAAATGCCAGACGAATGGAGGAAAAGTACTGCAATACCTGTTTACAAAAGCAAATGAGACATAGAATTGTACACTATCAAGGAATTAAACTTATGAGTCACACTATGAAGTTGTGGGAGAGTGTGATTGAGCAACGACTAAAGCATGAAACAAGTGTATCGGAAAATCAATTCGGTTTTATGCCAGGGAGGTCAACAATTGAAGCTATTTTTCTATTTAGGCAATTGATTGAGAAGTTTAGGGTGAAGGGAAAAGACCTCCACATGAACTTTATTGATCTAGAGAAAGCTTATGATGATGTGCCTCGAGATTTAATTTGGTGGTTGTTGGAAAAGAAAAGAATCTCCAGATATTGTATCGACTTGGTGAGAGATATGTATGAGGGAGCGCTAACTAGTGTGCGAACTACTAGTGAAGAGACGAGTGAGTTTTTAGTGGCAATAAGTTTACATCAGAGGTCAACATAGAGCTCATACCTCTTTGTCTTAGTTATGGACAACTTAACTAGGCACCTACAATATGAAGTTCATGGATGACATAGCTTTGATCGATGAGACCCGAAGCGGTGTCAACACAAAGTTAGATTTGGAGGGATGCTTAGAATCTAAAGGTTTTAAAATTAGCCGGACTAAGACAGAGTATATGGAATGCAAGATTAGAAATAATAGAAGCAGAGACCAGGAAATAGTTAAGATTGACGACCAAGAATTACTAAAAAGAGTGTATTTTCGATTTATTGGGTCGATAATCCAAGAAAGTGGAGAGATTGAGGAAGATGTCGCTCATAGAATTAGAGTTGGGTGGGCGAAGTGGGGACGTGCAATCAGAAGTTTATGTGATCGCCAAATACCAATGAAGCTGAAGGGAAAGTTCTATAGGGCAATTGAGAGACCAGCCTTGCTTTATGGAGCGGAATAATGGGCGGTCAAGAAACATTATATCCATAGGATGGGTGTAGCTGAGATGAGGATGTTGAGATGGATGAGTAGCAAGATAAGAAGGGATAGAATTCGAAATGAATACATTCAGGAGAACTTAGGTGTGGCTCAAATTGGCGATAAGAGGAGAAAAAATAACTTAGGTGGGCTGGGCATATACAACGCAGACCGAGTACAACACCTATTAGGAGGTGTGAGTTGGTTTAAGTAGAACGCTCAAAAAGGGCAAGAGGTAGGCGCAAAAGGACATGGATCCCAAATAGCTAGGAAAAGGCTTTGATGATGATGATGATAACGATAATGACATTCAAGATTTCATGGCTTTGTTATGTTTTGCTTAACCTTTGCCTTCAAGGAGAAATGTTATTTTTGTGGAAGGATATATATAAAGTTGGGACAGTAATCTGTTTGATATTAGCTGGTTAGTCCTTATTAGATTCATTAATGAGCAACAGAAATCCATTTGATATTAGTTGGTTAATCCTTATTAAGTTCAATAAGGAGCAACTTAGCTGTGCGCAATCCATTCTCTGATTGTATTTGATGAAACCAGGTCCTCTTACCCACTCACTTGGTGATGGAACTCTCTGGGTATGCTGCACACATGCCAAACTAAGGAAGACAAACTCAAAACTTGGCTTGCCATCAGGTGAGTTGAGCTGACTTACGAAACCAAAAGCGATTTAGAAAACTTGCTTGAAACCTTACAAAACTTGGGTTTTCTCAGCGAGTCAACAGTGTCTGGCAGTAACACAGTGAAACTTAGTGCACAGTTTTAACGCTCCCATAGTAATTTTTAAATTATTGTTCCTGAAATTTTGATCGAGAGACTGGTACTTGAAACTGACAAAAGGTTCTACAACTAGAGGACCTAGGTCTATCTCAGTGGAGGGTGTTGCTGATTTTTCTTTTGTTTTTTATGGGGGAAATATTAACTGTGAGGAGTTGCTGTTGTTTGCCTAACCAGTAAGCTGTCTCTGTTATTTCAGCTGTCTCTGTTATTTCTGCAAAGTACATTCATGTTGCAAAATCATAGACAAGCTGTAGGGGACCTTCCTGCAGTATCATTAAATGCTTGATGAGGAAAGGTGTGCGGCATTATATTAACTTTGTTTGGTAGTCTTAATAATGGGGCATAGGGAGGTTAAATCAAACTCTCATGGTTGTCTACTTATTTGTATAAAAGTAATTAGTAAGTCCTGGGATTTTGGAGCAGATAGGTGTAAGTTTTTGTGCTGGATTCAGTACGGATTGAGGACATTCAGAAAATCGTTATTGTTTTAAGAATCGCCTGCATGGCTTCATGCTATCTTCTTGAAAAGCCATGATTACTTGATGACAACTGCAATAAAAATTTGGTTTTAGGATTTTTTATTGTGTTGTAGAAAACTTTGATGGAGGGATTGCATTCCATTGTTATATGACACACAGGCACATATCCAACATAATCTGTCTTAGAATAAGGACATTTGAGGTATTTGAACATTATCGATGAATTCTGAACATTTCCATGGTTTGTTAGGATGTATCAATGATTACATAGATTTTTCCATTCATGCGAGTGTAGTTTCTTTTTTTGTTATAGTAGTATATGCAATTATTTTCAATTGAGAGTTCCTTCTTTATATAATTGATCCTTTGAATTCCTTTGAGATGATGTAACTTCACTATTTGAACCGTGTCTGCTATCTGATATAAGTTTGTGGCACTTATGCTTTTGAGCCTGTTCATTTCAATTTATTATCTAGGAAAAGAGTTTGAGACTTGTGGTAGGGCATACTTTGTTTTAGGTCTATGGCTTGAATGCTACTGCTTCTTGGTACAGGCAAATGACTATTTTTATCTCTTTTGTCTTTTGATAATGAGTTGAATGACACGTTTGGTGAATTTTGAGCTGGTCTATTTGAAATTGCATGAATGGAAGTGCATGAAAATAAGAAAAATTCAATGTTTCCTTGTCTTTATACCTAGTCTTTTCTTTTCCGGTTCACATGAACACCACACAAACTTATACGTAAAACCCAAATCTCCCCTCCACAACCCCCAACTCCAAAAAAAAAACCCCAAACTCCCAAAAAAAAAAAAAAATGGAGTAGAAATTTTAATCTTAAATGACTATTTGTGGTTTCAAATTTTTATCCAACCCATTTTGGAAGGGTCATGAAACGTGATATCGGTATTATGGCCCACCCAGGGGTCCTATCCATTGAGCAATTGAGCCATTATGTTGCATAGGTGTCTACAAAGCATTGCGAATGATCGCTTTACGAGTTTCCTGTCATTCAGCGTGTTGCTACTTGTGAATCTTTAAAAGCTCAAACTCGATTCGTAACTCACATGGTGCATGTGGAGAGTCAACTCGCGTAAAAGCTCGAACGCATTTCAGGTCTCACCTGGTGCTTGAGGTGAGTTAACCTGCTGAGTCACGTGTTTTATATGCAAGGATATTCTTCAGAATATTCATTTTTTTATGAGACTCGGATTTACACACTGATAAGACCCATATGGTCTATAGCGTTGGCCTGGCCTAAAAAAAATAGAAAAAAATTCACGTGAGTTTCATATGGTCTATAGAGTTTTAAGATTGGGTGACCCCCTAATCTTGGTTGGACTTGGGTGACCCCTAATCTTAAAAACAATGAGTCTAAAATCTGCTTCCAGTCTCCTTTTTTTATGTAGCGGTCAGAAGCTTTGGGCTTCTGTTCTCCTTTTTTATGTAGCGGTTAGAAGCTCTGGTGCCCCGTGTGAGTGATTGAGCTCTGCTGAGGGTGGTATTTTACCTCCAAAATTAGAAATAAGAGAACTTAGAAAGGCTTCTATTCTCCTTTTTTATCTAGCGGTTAGAAGCTCTTGGTGCCCTGTGTGAGTGGTTGAGCTCTGCTGTGGGTGGTATTTTACCTCCAAAAATTAGAAATAAGACAAGTTAGAAAATTGAAGTTGTTAATATAGACAATAATATTATTAGGGTTCAAATGCATTGAGCACATTTACAGCTGGGGTGATGTTGAAGCACAATGTGCCCAGTGATTACTTTCCAACTATTGTAGACAAGAAGTGAAAAATATTTTATTGTAAAAAAAAATGCATAACCATGCAATCCTTAAAGTGCACACTCTCAAGTTACTAATTTGTATAAATTAGTAATTGGTATTCCACTGATTTATAGAAACAAAATTGTTACAAAACATAATTTCTCAAAAAAAAAAAACATATGCACAACATTTAGTAGTTATCTATGTTTTGGCCTTGCTGGTCTATGTTTTGCTCCTGGCAAGGCCCTTTTCTAGTGGGATCTACGTGAAACAACTCAAGCCAACCAGCTAACGTGGTGTGGGACCTTTTGATTCCAACATTAGCACTCGTCACTCGTCAGTTTGGTCAGTTTGGTTGTAGTAATAGGACCCAACGTAAGCATTAAAACAGTTGTTTTGAGTTTCACACACTACTATATTGATGCCTTGAACACTGTTACTTCATCTGAACCTATGTTGTAAGTATAATCTATAACTCCGTTCTATACTTCGTATTTCGTTATCTCGTGGTTACACTTAAATCATAATTTGATTTAATTAATAGCACAAGGTTGAACTCTAGGGAAAATCCCCATAATTGTTACGAGCATGGGATAGGGCCTAAGACCCGACATCCATTGTCCATGGTTATCCAAGGACAACGGTAGATGAGATGTTGTTATGCTGGCTTATATTTTTAGGGTTTGTATACAATGAGACCATTTATCTATGGTACAAGGAGGTCAGAATTACTTATGACCCTCCAATGTGAAATCTGATGGCTTAGATATGTCACAAAGTTCGAGAAAATTTCTTTTGAACTTTGAGCTTGGTCAATAAAATCAATGCACCCACCCAATTTCATATCCAATGGTCAAGATTAATTGTGACTATCTTGTACCAAAGGTAAATGGTCTCATTGTTTATTTTTTCATATTTCAATAGGAATGGTTACTCCACTCCACCGCCCATCTATTATATGGACAATGGATGTTGGGTATGCAGACCCATATACTTAAAATAGTATATGTGACCTTGTACTTTTGTGTGTAATGCATATCACTTCTCACTTGAAAGGTGATGCATCATCAATTCTTTTGTTCGACTCCCTTTCAACGGAGAATGCTATTAACCTAGGGTGCCTCGTCAGATATTTCTTTGATAAAAAGGAGTGCCTCACAATATACTTGATCGATTTGAATAATTCACACAAAAATCCTCATTAGTTTATTCGATTCTAGCTCATCCAATTCATACTATTTAGTTGTCATAAATGTTTGGCATTAGTGTCTCTGAAGCTCACTTTCAATTCCCTATGATTTAAAAATGAAAACCTTGTTCTGTTGCATCTTATGTAACTAGATGTATTTGAGACAAATGTAATTAGTGCATTTCTTATCCAAAGAGAGAAAGAAAAACAAAGGTTCGAAGGAAAGCCTAATTGCCCTTGAGGTTCTCTCTTGCAACTATAACAATGCGAGTAGTTCTTTGCCATGAATAGCACTGCACATTCGCCTTTTTACTCCAAAAAGATTAGGTACTGAATGGTCCTGGATATCTCAGTAATTAGGATGAAGTTAGTAATTAGGATGAAGTTATTGCTTTCGTAGGGTCTATGTGTGAATTAACTTTTGGGGTGGAGGAGCTTTCAATGGTTATGAAAATAAAATTTTAACCATATAATTTAGAATGGCCATGTCCATTTACATCTTATTTATGATTTTACCTATATAAGAAAAAGTGGTAAGTGATACAGTGGAATCAGAAAAATCATAAATCGTAGGACCTTAAATGCAATAGATTCATTACATATTATATAGCATATGGCTCTTGGTTTAGTGCTCAGGTGGATGAACCACAATGTCATGTCAAGGGTTTCAATCTCACTCCATCAGGGAAAAAAAGGAGATACAAATTGGAGTGGACGAACCACGGAGATACAAATTGGAGTGGGTCTTATGAGAGCAACTTGGTAATTTTTGCTGCAATACAGGTGATGTCGAGACATTATGTTTGTTATTGCTCACATTGTGTGTGTAATTAATACACAGGGATTCTTGCCGGGACTCTCTGGTCCTGGGTCAACTCAAATCCCATAAAATTAACCATAAATTCACGGAACTGATGATACTTGAGTTCTTCTGGTTTTGGGGTTAGTCCAAGTCAGTTGTTCGTTTTCGGACCTAACTGAGAGTACTCCTTTAGAAGAATGACATGGTCTGAGAGTTCACCTTTAGAAGAATGACATGGTCATAGAAAATGTTTGAAGCACTTTGGGCCACCACTTTTGGATGAAATTCAGGTCAAACATCAAGGAGCTCCTTTAGAAGAATGACATATGGTCATAGAAAATGGTTGAGAGAACTCTGGGCCACCACTTTTGAATGAGATTCAGGTCAAACATCAAACATCAAAGAGCTTTCAACATCAAGGAGCTTTCATAGGAATGTTAGGTTTGTTAGGTCTGCTGTGGTTCATTCTTTCGCTCTAGTTAAAACTTAGAAATTCAGCTATTTAGTCATATAGGCCTGCCTGCCCTAGTTAAAACTTAGAAATTCTGCTATTTACTCACATAGGCTGAAAAAGGTGAAAAAGGGAATGAACTTATTTGAAATAATGAATATTTTTGGGCCATTATTTGGATGATTTAGGGGACATGGCTGGTCATTTAGGAAGCAGGTCTTTCTCCTTTGCTTCCCTTTTTGGTTGGGGAAAGATTCAGTAAGTTGAAACTTAAGTGTTGACCAATTCTGAATCCCACTTCAGTGTTGACTGATTCTGAATCCCATGAAAGTTTCAGCAAGTTGAAACGACGTGTTGGCCGATTGTCTATGAAAGTTTATCATCTTTCCAAATTAAATACTAAGTAATTGGAATTCAAGGGGGGTTTACTATCAAAATTTTCAAGGAAATCGATCAATTATGTGTTTTTGTACATCCAATCTCTAATTTATCTTATTAAGAAACTCCGAAACTCCGAATTACCATTGGTTGAATCATAATACACACAAGGTTGGGATTCAAACTAGGTCGAAAATGGTGAAAAATCCAAACATATGATCCTTATTTGTGTAAATTGTGGATAAATATGACGTGTCGAAAGGTTGGGATTCAAAATAGGTCGAAAATTGTGAAAAATCCAAACATGTGATCCTTGTTTGTGTAAATTGTGGATAAATATGATGTATCGAAAACTGTCTGTTGCCCTTCTCCAGTTGATCCTTATTTGCCCCATGAATTCTTATAGCGTCATAGACAAGATACTGGTTTTTCACTCTTTTTTTTATTTGAAAGGTTGACTGTGGCGGCAAACATTCACACAAACATTGTAAGTGCTCAAATTAAGGTTCGAACTCGAGTAATACTCGGCTATTATTGTGAATTCTATCTACATGTTACATGGTATCAGTACTACATTATACATTATTAAGCTAGAATTAAGGGATGGACACTTTTGGCGGGAATAAAACGGGACCCTATACATAGAAATAAAGTCGGGTAGATGTCTTAGAAATAAAAAAAATTAAAATAAAATAATTACTCTCTATAAACCATGCATTTTAATTAATTTATTTAAAATTACTTTAAATGTTTATATTTCCTAAATTAATAGGAAATAAAATTTAGCAAATCCCTATAGATATGATGATGGAAATCATGAGCTTATAATATTATTATATATGCACCCTTAATAGATTTGTTAAATCTTCTAAATCATGGTGGAAATTTACTAAATCGGCTAAGTAGAGTAATTTGCGAAATTCCCTAAATATATAAGGTAGAGATATATGCCAAAGAGACATAGAGAGACGGATCCAAGAAGACAGAGAGAGGTAAGGATTTAATGGATTTCCCGTGATATTCCCTTAGATATTATTTGTAAGGGAGAGATATACGCCAGGGAAACATAAAGAGAAGAAAAGAGTACGTGGAGAAGAAAAATAAGGAGAGAA